AATTGCAACTAAGCTTAAAACGATTGGAAATGTGCATTACAGCAGTATTTGGGACTACGTATCGCTGAGAATCGTTCTTTTCAAAATAAAATGTAGTAAAAACAAAGTGCCGCAGCAGTTTGCTCGATGAAAACACGACCAATCAACTGCGATGTGTGTTGACTAAATTATATGAAAAAGATATCAAACAAGGGTCAATCAAATTCCCGACAGTATTCTCATAAAAATAACTATAAGAATGATCTGTAACAATTTATATATTTTCATTAATTAAAGTATTGTGACAATGATATTGTGTAATGTCCATGAATAAATGTTTACTTACTCGAGTAAAAACGTGTGATATTTCAGACACCTCTTCAGTTCGCTCATCTCATCAGAATTTTCAATTCTCCTAATATTTCGGACATTATGGTTAAGTACTTGGAACTGCGCGATGGCATCGGCGAAGAGTGAAATGCAAGTAGCATTAACGGCAAAGAAAGTAGTAGCCAACAACATACTAAACAAAGATTGAAAGACGAGGAGAATTTCGTAAGCGTATGGATATGGAGGAATGTACAAGGCAACGAGTAATTCTCTAACGAAAAATGGTTTTATGAGCATTGCCATCTCTGTGCTCACAACGAACATGAATACCACCGACAAGTTTCGGTATGTGTTCGTATAAGTCTCCTTTAATTCTTTACTTGATTCAGGATCGTCGTCGCATTTCCAGAACATTGCTCGATTCCGAAACAGTTTTCCCAAGGTTTTCCTATACACGATTAATGGGTAAATATTCAAGAACGTCTAAAAAAAAGAAATTATTTTGGTAACCAAGTATTAATAATATTGAAGTTACTTGAAAATACGAAGTAAACGATTGGGCGGCATTCGATAAATTGTCTACGCTTCCTTCCAAATGGAAGAACAACAATATAACTAAGTAATATTGGCTCAATGAAAGTGCAAAAAAGATAATCAATGCCAGATAGAAATGCCAATCTTTTGACTTGTTTGGGTCTGCTAAAATTATCCTCATATATTTCAAAGCGAAATTCATGCAGTCATCTTGACCAACTTCCTTCTTGAACTTCTTAAAAAACTTCATTCTATCTTTTATATTATCGAAATTATTATTTAAATCCAAGAATTTCGTTTGTTACACTTTCGACGTTGATCTATGATGTTGTACTTCCACTCGCCGACAGTCTCGCGATAGAAATACGTTTGAAAGAAGTTTGAGCCGGATATAAATTTTATTTAATTGTCGATTAAATTGGGGAAACACCTCCAACTTCTGGAATAGTTAGCGTCTAAACTTATTATTTTTTACTAATTAAGGAAAGTTTCTTCCAAGACCAATTAATTGAATAAATAATTAATGGATACTTTACTTCATGAAACATTTGAGTATTAAACTTATTTAATATGGGCTCAATTAAATATCAAGAACGCTTAATTAGGAATTATAAAATATTAATTGAAATACATTTTAAATAGATATTTCAATTTTCATTTCATTTAATTTATATATGATTTTCATAATTAGTAAATAATGTAACCGACTTTAAAAAAAAACGGTTTTCGAATCTCAGCTTTTCTACAAAATCGGTTTAAACCGATATTACAGAAATAGAAAAAAACTCTCACTTGCTAACTAGCTTCTCTTGAATCTCTAAATTCACATCTTTAGGTTCTTGAAGTGAAACAAAAAAGGTAGAAGTGTTTACCTAAACGTTCTGTGGATTTTGTAAATTAACTAAAAACCTACTAATTTCAGTTTTCTTTGTTTTCAATTCACATAACAGAGACATTTTTATGTTTTTAATCAAATAATTAAAATAATTCATTATTTTTTATATTTTATCTGTTTTCGAATTACATAAATTTCCTCTAAAACCGGTTTTCAAAAACCGGGTTTTAAAAACCGACAAACCCTAGATGCTAATAGTATTTATAAAAAACAGTTTTAGAATCTCAGGTTTAAACCGGTTATTGATTTTTTACAAAAAAAAAATAGGTAGTAAATAAATATAAAAGCTCAGAAAACAAAACTTAAAAAAATCTAGAATTTTACACAAAAATTAAAAAAACAATGACTATTTTCTCAAAATTTATTATTTTGTTCTTGTTTTCCATAAAAAAAAAATCAAAAAATATAATAAACTCTCACTTGCTACCGAAGCAATTGATAAACGTAACACATGTGTGAAGCACCGACGTGATTGAGAACTAAAAAAAATACGTTCTTAAGTATTATATAAATATGTCAATCATAGCCTATAAACTATTCCAACAAGTTTGTCTGTTAAGATTAAGATTTAATTCCTTTCAGATTTTCTATTTGTTTCATGAAATTTAGCATTTAGAAATATGCCAAAATGTCTAAGTTTTTAATGAAATAATTAAAATAATTCATTGATTTTTATATTCAAAGTGTAAGCTCAAATACCATTATTTTTTGTTGGATAAACCCGGTTTTCGAATTATAAAAATTAAAAACCCTAGCTGCTAAGGATCTATAGGACTTTCTGCACTCTGAGGTTTTGCGATTTCTTAGATTTCGTAAAACGACAAATTTTCGAATATACCGGAATTGTGAATGAAAAGAGGCGTCTATACTGGTCTATACAGTAGAACTAAGTTTATAAAGGCTCTGCATAGATGGTGGTGGTGTGTTACAACACGATATTCTGAAAATGCGCTTTCTATAGAACGCGGAACAAAAATTGGGGTTCTCTTAGAATTTAAAAATAAATCATGAGACCCAAGATTCAGGCCGGATCCTCCACCTCCGCAGACTACTACGCCGATGATACTGCCATCCTGGTGAGGCACACTTCGACCGATCATGTCACGAGGTTGCTCCAAGAGGCCCTTGATCAAATTGAGGATTGGTTCCGGCTCTGGCGTATTGACGTCAATCCGACCAAGAGCGTTGCGGTGCTGTTCACTCGAAAGCGCTCCACTCCATCTGGTGCGCTAACAGTCTTTGGTGAAGATATCCAGTGGAAGCCTTCAGCTAAGTACATGGGGGTTACTTTGGATAAAGATTTGCGCTTCAAGCAGCATATCGAGACGGCCAGGAACAAAGCCTGTGCAACCATCAAGCTGCTTTATCCCCTGATGAACAGGAGGAGCCGTCTAAACATTCCTAGCAAGTTGGCCATATACAAATCGATCATAAGATCCGGCATGACTTATGCGTCTCCTGCATGGGGTCATGCTGCACGCACTCACTTGTACAAGCTGCAAGTGATTCAGAATAAGACATTGAGAACTATTTACAATGCTCCCTGGTTCATCAGGAACGTGCAGCTGCACCGGGAGGCTAACATTCCTTTCCTCTCGGAATTCATGAAGAAGTCAACTAAGAAGGCTTTTGCCAGAGCTGAGATTCATCCAAATCCTCTTCTGCGAGCGGCCGTCGACTACGATCCGGGTGATCATCACACCCACAAAAGGCCGAGAATGGCTGCTACCTGACAGCACTGACATCCGCACAAGACTGAACACTCGTCATGCATCACCACACGGGCCTGCAGACCAATGCATTAAAATCATGAGCCGAAAGGCGGAGTTTTTACTCATCCACGAATTCACTGTCATGCATTCCTAGAGATAAAAGGCA